TTTTTTTCTAAGTTAATGAAAATAAAAGATAAACTTTAGTTTTCTTGTACCTTTAGGGATGTTCCGCTTCAAAAGTATGTTAAAAATACGAAAAACAACTTCTAACCAGTGAGGTAACAGACATGTTCCTTTACTGGGTATAGATTTCCCAGTGAATAAACAGTATGTGTTAATATGTTGACACTTTAATTTTCAATTGATTATTACAAAAAACAGTTAACATTTTCCAAGTATTTATATGTTATAATTTCAAGAATAGGCTTGTTTTTAAATATTTGTATGGCTTATAAATTCATAAAGAGCATTAAAAAATAACCAAAATTAAGTGTTCCATTACTGGGTGTTCATTCACTGGTAAGAGCTGTTCCTTCTCTTGGTCTTCTTACTACTTATTATTTGAACCTTCAAAACTTTAAAACAGTATTATGTAAGTTCTCTACAATTTTTTTTACATAATTTGCAATTAGTAACAAATATGTTGACACTGTCATTTAACTAAAACTACGAATTTTGAAATTAATATGATTTTTTGAAAGGCAAACGAAGCTTAAGTGTTCCTTCACTGGTTAGTTTACCCTACAACAGTTTAAATTATATTTTACGTAGGCTAAATCAAGTTGCACTTTAAAATAAATCAGAGTTTTAAGAAAAAATTATCATTGTTACTGAAAAGGAAAAAGCTCAATTTACAAATGAGCATTCAGTGATGATGAAAAAGTTCTTTTCTTTTCGGGACTGCAGGGCTATTTGGAATCATTTAAATGCGTATAAGAATAATTTAAAGTGCATTTCATCTCCTTCTTAGTACTGACATATTTTTTGTGAGCCACCACAATATTCAAAAGGTTAGCTCGGAAATAGAACTCTTTATTTCAATACTTGGATTGTTTAAATTACAATTAATTTTTTGAAAATGCCTAAAAAACTTTATCACACGCTAAAAAGAATCAAACAATCTAATAACTTTTGATTTAATAAAAAAATTTCACGTTCTAATACCCAATCCTGAGCCGCCCTGGTTCAGTGGTTACGGCATTAAACTGTCATCGTGAAGAACTAGGTTTCGATCCCTAGTGGCGGCTTGAAGCTCACTCAAAAAGCTTGTATGGGAAGTGAAAGCGACCTGTGCGCAATACTGACCACATTGTCACAATCAAGCCGTTGGTCAAGAAATTGTGGAGCCTTATCCAACATGATTCCACGGTTCACAACAGACTGTTGCGAGAATGGTTTACTTTCAAGACTCAATCTTAATGGTAAAGTTCCTAAGCTTAAACAAATTAGAGCAGAGGATATTTTAATGGGTTTTCTGGCATAGAGATTTTTAAAAAAAATTTGGAGGTATATATGGTCGAAACACTTTTACCCAGAAACTATTTGTTAAAGTGGAAAAGCATGATCATCGAACCAGCCATTCTACGTAGTTTAAGGTTAACGGACGGCGCAAGAGGAAATCAATCCTGTATACGAAGAAATGTGAAATGACAATTTTTTGGAAAGATGTATTGGCGCAATCAAAACAATCCCGAATTTCTAAATTCGCTTATTTTGGCGTTTTCTCCAAAACGCACCTACATATTACGATGAAGAAATAACAAAATTGTCGCTTATTTAGCTACGGTGATCGTCAACTAATCGTCAAGGTCTCCCCACCATTATGGGGATACCTTGAATGATGTATGTCATGAATATTTGAATTGGCGACACGCCGTTCGAGTTTCGCAAAAAACGCAACTCAGATAAGCTTGAACGCTCGGAACACCGCGTGTCTACCTTCAGCAAGAAAGCCAGGTGTGCTGTCCGTACAAAAATTTAACCTTTTCTAAAATTTCATTCACTGTTTTTTTTCGTTTAAATGCCAAAAATAAAGGCAATTTTCGTTATTTCTTTTTTAATGGCTACCATTTTTTCATCATGCTTCTTTCAGTATTTCAAGCTACTTAACCCATCAATGCGTTATCTCCACCATCATTTTTATATGCTAATCGGGATAAAAAAAAAAATTAAAATGTAACTGAAAGGTGACGAAATAAAATAAAGAAATCATTATATAACTTTTTTTTTCATTCCATTGAAAGAAAAATGTTAAAAACGAGGCTTAAATCGGACCTCTCGTTATAATATAGCCTAATAATATCTATATTTTATCGGGCCTCAAACAAAAATTATCTTCCTCTGACTTAAATATACCTTTTTTCACCTATTTACTTTTTGACCTTCATAATATGGTGCCGCTGTGAGGTCAACGGTATGAATGTATCCTCGGGTATCCATACAACCCCCAAAGTAGCGCACTCCAAAAATTGCTCTGCAGAACCGAGGACAATGACTGATAAACAGCCTTGTCAATGCGCACGTTCAATTTTTCCGAATCCATGTGTTGTGACCATTTGGAAAAGCTCCAGCTGCGTGAGATTTGTGATGCTTCTAAATCCATTGCGTTGCTCTGAAACCGATTGGGATGCTCACAGATTTGGGGCTCTGGAGCTTTTAAACGTGTATTTTTTTCTTTCATAGTTCGATCATCTTTTAACAACACAATTTTACCTGTTTTATATGTGTATTTATAAAAATTGATGTGAAGGTGAAATGTGTAGAAGTTTCGTGAAAGGCAACTAGTTCCTGTCTGATCTTTTTTCTTGGCACTATGCCATATTTATTTTTCTTCTCAATCAAGATTTGGGAATGGCCGGTGATCCCATTTCAGTGTGGCCACCAAAGTGCTACCACGATATCTCTTGGCACAGTGCCAACTTTATTTTCACGCGATGTAATTCTTGGAACTGTGACAAATTTATTTTCCTCTTCACTAGGACTGGGCTATAAATCGATATATCGCGACATATCGATTTAACGCCTATATCGGCAAACCGATACAGCAACTTTCATTCCAAGCGATACATCAGAAATGTGATTTAAGCCGTCGAGTGAAGAAGACGATATAACGATATAGCGATACACGCAAGGACTTTCTCTTACGTTCCGATGCCAACTCGCGCTGTGGAAGACGATATTGTTTCGTTATGTTGAGACGGCCTTGACTGATGAGCGGTAGAATCAGAATCACTTTTGAGACCTTATATCGTTATATCACATGTTCGTTTTCGCACCTTCGCGATTTGAAATCGTTTCTTGTAGATTATTTTCAATGGGATTAACTTCGTGATCGCCGTCGTAACCTTGTTCTGAACGCAATCTATTATTGAAAAGAATTTATAAAGAAAAGTTTCTTCATTAATTAGGTAAGTTTTTTATTTATTTTCTGACANACCACATGAATACAATCGCATCAATATGAGTAGCTGAAAATAAGATTTGAAACACATGTGAAGTAATGAATCGTGAATCGCGTTCTACTTTATATAATACTACTTTAATACAAATTTTTATATGAATCATGTCCATACGCGAAATGTAATTTGTATATATATATATACAGTTAGTCAAAAAAGTCTGCGTACATTAACAAAAGTAATATCAAACTCGAATTTAAAGTGCGAAAAAAACGGTTTTTTAAAATTTTATTATTTTAAATCTTTAACGTCAGTTAGTAACTTTAAAATTATTTGACAAAAATATTTTCATGCCCAATAATTTATGCAGACTAATTTTTAAAAGATAATTGGACAAAAATCAAGGCCAATAAAGTTTGCGTACAAGCCAGAAAGGGCGGGGAATTTCTTATCTTAATTTTAAACTTCAAACTTGAGAATGCGAATCGGATTACACTTTCAAGGTCATTGAGCTTCAAATCTATTTTCGAGTTAATGGGAAGATGCTAGTGCTATTTTCTTTGACGAAAATGTCACTTAATAAGGAAATTCCTTTAGCTACAAGACAGTTAATTATAAAATTGAGAGATGAAGGTAAAACTCTTCGCTATATTGGTAAAATAGTTGGGAGGCCTCATTCTAGTGTGCAAAGAGTTATTCAGAACTACCTTGTGAATTAAACAAAATCCTAAACTTTCTGCTGTAAGTATAACAAAAGATATTTTTTAAACAAGCAATAAAGAAATTTCCCCTGAAACTGTAAGAAAAGTACTGCGAAAGGCAAATTATCACGACGCAAATCTAGGTCTTAGCTATACATTTCTAAGACGAATCGAATGAAAAGAATTGCTTTTGTAAAAACTTAATTTGTACTCCTCGACAGATTATTGGAACAGCATAATTTGGTCTGATGAAAGTAAATTTACAATATTTAAAATCAATGGCCACCCTTATGGAGAAAACCGGGAACAGAACTGAATCTGAGAAATTTAAATCCAACTGTTAAACATGAAGCTGGTGGAGTGATGGTATGGGGGTGTATGTCTTCGAATGGAGTTGGAAATTTGCATATTATTGATAAAGTCATGGACAGGTATGTTTATTTGGATATTTTGAAGAAAACTACCAGAAA